GCACTCTGACACGGATGACCCTTGCTATCCATGCTTTTTTTCGACGCCATTGTTGTCATGAATAATTCCGTGGAGCGTCGATTGGTCACGTGACAAATTATGAGGCGCGTACAATTTAATTCTTTTTTATTGATAGGCGCGCATTTCTTTGCGCAGCTCTTCACCATTTTAGGCGCGTGATGGCGTGCACGCGCAATTGCGCACCTTAAAGGACAAGCCCTGCAAAGCCATTCAATTTTTTGCCTGCTACCTTACAATCTCCAGTGAATAAGTTTTTGAGTAAATGTTTAGGCTAAAATCTGGGCTTATTCTATGTAGACTGACTTTAATCAGCCAAACGTAGTGGCACACCACCACTATTTTTTACCTTATCTCTTCTTTTAAAAGATATGGTTGCTAAGCTGTCCCTTTCTTCGCTGCCACCCCAGTGATTATCTGTTTCATGATTTACCAAAACAGTAGCATGGGGCACTCCCTTAACTGGATGTAATAAACTTAATGATGTGCCAAATTTATACAGATTACTAACTTTTCAGTGTCACAGTACACATCTGTATTTTAGGCATACTACTAATTTGCTTATCTAATTGCGGTAAATAATACCTGTATAGTCCTGAAAATCCGGCATCCATTATGTAAAGCCCTGCCTTAAAACATTTTATCAAAATTAAATTGACTTAAATGAAACAGCTTGTTTGATTTTCTGGAGGAAGATTAATTGACCAATTGGTAAAATAATCGAGTAAAATAATAGATTAATCCATAGAAAAAATTGTTGTTAGTGGCAGCCCTAACTTACTTTGTTACTTTATTGATCCCAGAATGAAATTTAGGCATTCAGTAGGTCAAATACACATAAATACATAACACTCAAGGATTGCAGTGTGCCTCTGTGGATGCTATGCAAATTGAATAGATGTATGAACCAACCTACACAAGTGAAATACTGATATATGTGTTTTCCATTAATGAATTGTGACTTTTTTTTTTTATCTCAAGTAGCAACTATATTAGTTCAGGATTTGTTCTTAATTTGTACTTAAGTGGTAACTGAATTATTACTATTTGTACCCTATCAAGTAAAGTGTTACCATTTTTCTTAATGGTCAATTAACAAGCATCACAATTAGTGAAATAAAGACAACTTTGCTACAGTTTCAATCATTGTGTTTATTGGCTGCATATTAAAACATTTTTTTTATTTCACAGCAATTAAGAACCATCTTAATAATCTTAATTGTGCTCAATCATGTTGTGGAGGTGGATGGGCCCTCATCATTTTCAGCTGGGTCAGCCAGAGGACAATAAGGGCATTTTTCCACTTTTGGTAGTTTGAGAAAGTACCGAACATACAGAATTCGAATTTTTAAAATTAGAATTTGGTGATCAGTGGTCATTGTTGATACACCACAGCACATAGTGCACAACAACAGAATGTGTCCTCTGCATTCAAACCATATGTGACATAGCATGGGGCAGCTAATTCGGTGTCTGGGGAGCAGTGCTTGGGGGTGGTACCTTGTTCAGGGCACCTCAGTGGTGCCTTGCTGGTTGGGGAATTGAAGCAGCAATCATTCAATTACTAGTACGCTTCCCTAACCATTAAGACGCCACTGCCCACAAAAAAAGCCTGAAAAGCATGTGAACTCCACACAGAAAGGTCCTACGCTTGACCCAGGGACCGAACCCAGGACCTCTAAACTCTACCTAGTTATTACTCACAGAATTTCACGGTGTTGGTTTTCCACTGGTGTTAAAACTGATATCGTACTGAATGACATCACAGTGCAAGGCGGGGTATTTTATACTGAATTTGAAAAATGGCTGTATTATATTATGCGGCTTGGTGAGGTGCAATGTTTTAATACCAACATTGCATGTCATGCACCTACAATTATATCGTTAGTCAGCTATATTAAAAAGGCTTTGTCTTACTTTCAATTCTGTACGGACATTATAGCGCGGGGGTAGAAGTTTCACTGAAATATTTTTACTCTGTCATAGGAAAAACAAACTTAGCAAGCGCTGCAATTCTTATATGTTTAATTCACTTTAAAGTTTACCTGCGCTGCTTTTGCATGAGCATTGCATGCAGTCTCCGGGACAATTGTAATTATTTTCATCCTTGCTGTTTAAATCAATCGAAGACTGGTATGTGAGAAATTTATGTTGAACTCTTTGTTTTATAAATACCCCAATATTTATTACAACAAAATCACATCGCTAGGACATATTCAACAAAACACTTTTTAATTTCTTGTCATGCCATCCGGATCTCTTTGTTGTGTATGTTCTTAGGACCAAATCACATTTTTTTTTTTACTTTAGCATTAATTTCTGAGTTTGCAACCATTTTCAAGGCGGTGTTTGTGTTGTGTTTCAGCATTAGGCTATCTGCAAAACCAATCGAAACTCTAAAGTACCGAAGTGCAAAAGAAATAAAGCAGCTAGTTTGGCACTTTCGGTACTGGTACTCAACAGGTGCTTGTATAAATAGATTTACACTGCTCATAATTCAAACTATTATACTGATCAATGTACAGAAGTTCATGATGCTGGATTTTTATTTTCTTGTTATTTATTATGATTTATTATTGATTATTATTAAGTATTGATTGGCTATAACAACAACAAAAAAAAAATTTTTGTATAGCGCGTTGTCATTACATCGTCTTGAAGCGCTTTACAGCATCCCCACCCAAAGCCCACAGTGAGTAAGCCATAGGCAACAGTG